GTTGTGTCGACGCATTTTCTTCACCTACATCACCCAACGCTGCTGATACCCTGGTGCTTGTCTTTCGCAATGCTGGCATATGTGCGTGTGCAGTCTCACATTACCTTTCGTTTGGCTGCATTCTATCTGTCCACTAACTTTATCGCTTGACACTCAGTCGAGGCTATTGAAGTCCCTCCCTTTGCAGTGGTGGGATATGTCCTAGCAGGTGTGAACGATCATACACGCGAGATCAAAGTCACACACAGACGCACGCACACACACACACACACACACACACACACACACACACACACACACACACACACACACACACACACACACACACACACACACACACACACACACACTCGCACAATCACACACACACACGCACACAACCTCCTTCCTGTACTCACTTGTATCTGAGTCGTCCTGTCATGCGATACGCTTGCGCCATATTGCCCACAGCCTGTACCCGCCAGCGGCAAGCACAGTGGGCAGTGTGTGTGTGTGTATATGTATGTATGTATGTCCAGGAAGAACGGATCAGTGCGTGCATGCGCGGGCACTGGCGCGGGGGCAGGGGGGAAGAAAGCACAAACAAACAGGCATGCGCAACAGTGTGTGTGTGTGTGTGTGTGTGTGTGTGTGTTGAGCATACGTTGAAGCTAGTCCGTGCAACATCGTGTGCTTCCTGCCCATATTTGTGCCTGGCGATTGTGGTTGTGGTGGTAGTTCAAGGCAAGTAAGTTGTGAGCCACAAAGATGAGTGTGAAGCAGGAGTGAGTAAATCCAACTCGAAGAGAGCAAGAACGTACAAACTTGCGCGCGCGTACACCCTACCTGACTGTCTCGCGTGTTTCTTCCGAGAGCGTATTGGCGAGGGTCTGGTGTCAATGAGGTGGTACAGGTGAGCACGCGATGCTGGTGTTGATAAAGGTGGCGGGGAAACAGAGCACTCCACACATACACAGACACAACGCAACACAGCATGTGCACACGTGTTTCCACCTCGACGGCGCGCTCCATGCTTTCGAGAACGGTGATTACGCCCATACCACCAGCCTTGATCACGTGCACCCACTGGCGGTGGTGACGATAACGAATGGTGTTTCCAGTTGTGGCGGACGGCAGTGCAAGGGAGTGTGAGGGCAGTGCAAGGGCGCGATGGGTGTGCAAAGCATGCGATATGGGACGGAAGGCCAAGCGACTGCCAAACGCAAAATAACACATCCACACAGACACAGACACATCCACACACAGACACAGACACAGACACAGACACATGCACATGCACATGCACATGCACAGACACAGACACATGCACACATACATGCGCATGGCACCAGACCTTCTGTTTAGCTTGCGAGTTGTGTTCGTCGTTGCGAAGATAGGAGGAGATGACGGGTGCAACGCGGTGCACGGCGCGCTCTGCAAGATCAACCACGTTCGACACGACATATGACACGCCCTGCATTGGGAAAAAGGTGTGACAGCGTACGATGGGTGTGACAGCGTGTGATGGGTGTGGCAAGGTGTGTGAGAATGGATGAATGAATGAACGAAACGATGAGTATGGAGTCACACACACACACACACACACACACACGCACACATACGCGCGCGCACAAGTGTTGGCATTGTCACCTGGTATGTGGCGTGTGCTGCGACGCCAAAACCGTGAACGACGCGTTTGGTGCTGAGCAAAACCAGGTGATGTGACCAGCAGGGCAGGACATGAAGACGGGGCTGGAGATGTGAGCAACAAAGGTGGTGTCTAGAGGACTGCTTTCAGTCACACACATTCACATTCACACACACACACACATTCACACATTCACACATTCACACACATTGACATTCACACATTCGCACACATGCACATTCACATTGTGTCAAGAGAGCGAGCGAGTCGCATGGTGTGATGGTCACTGCAGTGCTCACCGGTCACTGACTTCAATGTCCTCCTCTGCCGGCACCAAACGCGAACGCAGCGCCTCCCCAGCACTGAAAACACACGCACACGCACGCATGGTTTGACACACACGTGCACGTAAGGTAGGGTGTTTCGTTAAGGAGTGGCAGATATGGGAGGGCGAATGAAACAACATAAGCACACACATACAGACGCATTCACGGCGCACCTGCGCATGACGCGACCGCCGATGGTGGCTGTGGTCTCAAATGCCTGCGCCATGGAGAGGGCACCGCGCTCAATACCGCGCGCAACGACGGCATCCCACGACGAGGATGCACCCGGTGCTAGCGACGCGCTCGTGTCCGTCTCAACCAGTGGCCGCGTGCTCTCAATCTCTGGTGGGCAGTGAAGTGCGATAGCAAGCGAGTTGGTGGCAGGGGTGCCGGCGGTGATGATGGTGGTGGTGGTGGTGATGATGATGATGATGATGATGATGATGATGATGATGATGATGATGATGATGATGACGATGATGATGATGATGATGATGATGAGATGATGATGATGATGATGATGATGATGATGATGATGATGATGA